TTTGAGTCTCTCATCCATGTATATGTATATATATGTAAATATTCTATTTTGAGACTCGAGTTGCCTTTTTGGCCAGATTTGTATCATCTAAGTTGTTTATGTCTTTGCATGGCATTGAGTTATTCTGTTGAGTAGGTTTCCGCTGAGTTAAGAAAGCCAGGCCAAGGGTTCGCCTGGGGCCAGCAATGGTCTCCGGGTGCCGGTCCCGCCCAGGGTGTAGGCTCGGGGCATGACACTTAATTTGAAGATACTTGGGCTAAGTCAAGTTATGCCCTTGAGAAGCTTCTAAAACTATTGTGTTGTGCTTTTTAATTGGTTTAATTTGGTACAGGTCCCTACTCTTCAAAGGAATGTCTACGTTTCCTTGAAGCTCGAAGAAGCTTTTTCAGGCTGCAAGAGACTTGAAGGGCAAGGGATTCTAAGAGAGGCACACAAAATTCTACATGCTAATCATCTTGTGATATATGTTGATGGCAGGGATATCTAAGATAAAAATAATTATATGCAGTATGCAGGTATGGAAGATTCAAGGCTCCAGATAATTACCACTCATAAGGTTGGCTAAAACAATTCACCTTTTCTGAAAGTTGATGTTTTCAACCCGTAAATGAGTAGAATCTGAAAGATAGATTCTTTGGTTGTGTAAGTTGTATGACAATATATATGTCTCCTAACAGAAGAGGAAATAAAGTTATAAAGTATGCAGAAAAATGCATCTTAAAAATAACTCCAACGTTACAAACTTACAATCATTATGCTTCAACTTTCTCATCATTTTACTTAAAGGCCAGACTATTCAGATTTCAGATTCGCACTCAGGTTAAAATATTGTGCAGTGATTATAATAACCCTTTATTTGCAGAGAAGTTAGTATGAAGCAGAGGAAATTTGAAAGCATCATTTTATATCATGTTGACTAAAATCCAGAAATGATTTTACATCCTGATCAAATACTATATTAATAGCTGATAAAGTTCATTGAAAAAGACCCATATAGAAACTCAACTTTCCAGGTATGCCCCCTTTTAGGAGTAGCGGCTAGACTGTATGAATGAAGGAATTACAAACGAGGACCAACTGCTGGAAATTGCAAAAAAAATAATTTCAAAGTAGAAGTTTCTGGTACACAAAAACTTCAGAACCAACAAATAATGATAATGATGTGTAGAAAATTACAATGTCTATGTTAAGTGTCTCCGCTCCCAACAAATGTTAACATATGTTCTGTGTTCGGATTCATATTTTATTGCAATAAACTAAACTTTGGGTTGTCACTGTTTAAAGAGGCAACTCTTCTGCCTGGAGAAAATTACAATAACAGAGAAATACGACTTTTCACAACTGTATTAAACGGTGGCAACTCTTCTTCTAAAAATGCGTCTTTTGCTGAAGCGGCGCCTGTTTTTATAAGAGGGACATTTAAGTAATTTAACTTTTAAATTTAAATTCAGGAGATCTTAACTTTTAAGATAGTATATATATATATAATACAGAGGATTTTATTGCCTGAGATAAAAACAAACAAACCAATCCTCTTTTGCCGATGGAGATGACAAATCTGAATAAGAAAAAGGTAACAGAGGAAGAAGGAATCAATAAATTGCCGGATTCACTCCTAGTTCAAATTCTCTCACTTCTCCCAACAACTAAGGAAGCATTCAGAACTTGTCTAGTCTCTAAAACATGGCGGCGTCTCCCAACTTTAATTGATAGCTTCAATTTCACTTGTTCAATAGACCGCGAAAGAGAAGATTTCTCTATTATTCATAATGCATTAACACATTCCCGCTCTCTCAAAATTATGAAGTTCCAACTTGACTTAACTCACTTTAGTCTATCACACTGCAGTTTCAGGCCTGAGTATGAAACCCTAATCAATCGTTGTTTTAGTTTTGCTGTTGAAAGACAAGTTGAAAATGTTGTATTGTCGTTTCTGTTTGGTTTTGGTTATGGTTATAAGTGCACATTTCTTGAATCTCTCTGCACATGTTCATCGTTGATAACTTTAGATGTTCAAAATTGTGGCTTTAATAATGTGTTCATATCGTGGAACTCTCTAAAGAGTATAAAGTTGGGGTATTTGAGGCTAACCGATGATGATATGGTGAAATTATTGTCAGGCTGTCCTGCATTGGAAACAATGGAATTATATAGCTTTATTGGTTTCCATCACCTGGAAATTAATTCCCTAAAATTAAAGACACTAAAGTTGAAAGATTAAGTTCGGGTTGGTGGAAATGGAGATGACTTAGAAATTCTTGCCCCTAATATTCAGAATTTGGAAATATCAGGAGAAGATCTGGAGTGTAGGCTTGTTGATGTGTCTTCTGTAGTTAACGCTAAGCTCATTTACAGCTTTTTCTGTATCAAAGGCATCCCAAGTATTTATGTGAAAGACTGCTGCCATGAATATCGTCAAGTAGTGTATACCCTCGCCCAAGATAATCTTCAAAAGTTATGTTATGCAACTGATCTAACAATTGGAATGTGGTTCACAAAGGTTCGTCTTTAACTCGAAAGTCCTTACATTGATGTTTCATAGAGCTGTGTTTAGACAATAGATTTGTCAAAGTACTATCTGTCTGTTGTGAAGTACTTCCCTTTTGTTGTTAATGCTTTCTCCATTATTTACTAGTTTCGTTGGGATTACTGCACCAGGTCATGTACATGTTGCAGTTCAAAGGGTCGCCCATTTCAGAATTGAATTGCAAATATCTAACACTGATGTTGCATCTGACAACGTTTAATATGTATGGAGTAGCTGGTCTTTTGAGAGTCTCGCCACACGTGGAAACAATCAGCATAGAATTGGAATATACGCTGGTAAACTTCCTGGAACTTATCTCTTCTTTTTACGTCTCTTCATCTAGTTGAAGTGTTTGTCACATTGAATGTGACCTGCATTTAGTCCTGATTATATTTTGTTGTCTCCAGATAGATGATTTTCTGGTCAACGACAATTCCTGCTGCAACCCTGAGTTACTTGATTTAGCCAAAGAAGATAATATGGATTTGCTGAGTTGGGTTTCAAGCGTTGAGACAACCTCAAGAAAATTAAGATTGTCATCTCCTCAGATGCGTGCTGGAAAGATCATGTCAAAACGGGCTTTGAAAAGGTTTCCAAACTTTCAGAATTTCTGTTATTGAATGCACCGATTTTTGAGAATTTCGTTATCATATCAAAGAGAAGAAGGTGCGAGACATGTTCAATGAACTGTCTATCCCAACATTTATCTCTATTGGCCGATAAATTGTTAGGTTGTCCAAGATTGTCCACCAATGCTGCGATTAACTTCCAGGAGTGAGCTTTCCTGTCTCGAGATATAAGAAATGTTGCCTTATATATGTTGAGTTTTTGATAAACTACTCATGGAATCTTTTATCTTATTAAACATTTTCTTTATTCATTTGATGGCATATGCTAATCAATTAGCACAGCTAATCTAATATATGTTTTAAATGGCAAAATCAGAAGTGTTGTTTGTTGTTCTGTTTAGAGATGACAATCTTTACCTAATTTTTATCGAACTCTAAATACATCCATTTTTAGGTGTATAATTTCATGAGTAAACCAATTCATGAGTATATAGTCCAAATGAAAAACAACCCACTTATCTTTTTAGTGTGACTCAAATTTTTGACTAATGGCTGAATAATGAATGTGCTTAACCATTGAAGAAAGTCTCACTTGTTATCTTTAAATGATTTATTTCCTTCATTACATGTTTTTATTTCACATTCTACTACAACAATAACATATATAATGTAATACCACAAGTGAAATATGTGAGAATAGAGTATCTATGTAGACCTTATCCTATCTCGTAAAGATAAAGATGTTCTTCCGATTGACACTCAACTTAGATAAAGTCTAATCTATCAGTTTTAAAAAAAGGGATACATATATAAGTGACTACACACTAAGTTTTATCGTGTATAATTTAATGTAAATATTGTTTAGTACCATCCACAAAATATAATATAATCTTGTGTTGGATTGTTTTTTTATATATCTCAATCAAATATTATCGTATCTAATATATATGAGATAATTTTATGATTCTCTCTATCCTCAAACCAAATCACTTATTAGTTGAGCTGAAGTAATAGGCATTATGCGTCTCATGTTCAACTCTTCGCTATTCATATGATTTCCTTATAAATATATTAGTTCAGCAAACAAAATTATTCGAACAAAAAATAAGTAATTAATACTTATAACGCAAAAATGGCTTATTCGAACCAAAATAGCTTCAACAAAAGTAAAAGCCATGCCAATTCCACATCCATATTCAGTCAAGCCCGCCGTAAAATGTCATTCCGGCGGAAGAAGTTATCGGTAGTCCAGGTTGAAGCCAGAGGAAAGAAGCACCGGCAGAAAGTCTCTCCAGTGAAGATTTTCCGGCGAGACGGATTAAAGGGGAAGAAATTGCAGTGCTTGAGTATGAAGAAAATAAAAGAATGTTATTGGTTGGCGGTAAATGATATATTGGAAGCAATTGATTCATTCGAGCGACGACTTGTAATAGATACCTCTTTTGCTATTCCAATGATGGGACTTTCCTTCATTACTTTTCCAAATCATCGTGGTATTTGAAAGCTAAGCTGAAAATTTTATTTATTTTATTTCTAGTTTAAGACGACCTACATACTACTCACTTTCCCCACTCTATTTGTGGTATTACACGGTTGTTTCTTTGTTATTTTTGGTTTTCGCTGAAATCAATTGAGATGTTTTACTTTGATTTGCTTTAAAAATATATATAAATTCATTAATATATATATTGCAGTGCCAGTTGAATTATTTGCAAACTTCATGAGATCATGCATGCACATACGAACTTGAACTATTTTTTCTTTAATATATTGAAATTTTATGGAAAAATTATATAAAATAGCAACCTATTAATTCAAATTAAATGTTATAACCACTGTTTCATTTAATTCTAATCTGTAGCAAACACTTTGCCATCGCTATTCTCCCCAGATTTCTCGCTCGCCACTCTCCTGGTCTCGCTCGCCAGTCTCTCTCTCGCCACTCTCACTTTATACAAACACAAATGTATAAATTGCGTTTGTGTTTGTATAAAGCGAGAGAAAATTGTATATACAAATACAAATACATATATTTTCATCATATACACTTATAATTATACAAATTTGCCTCTCTCCCTAGAGAATCTCGCTCGCCACTCTCCCTGATCTCGCTCGCCACTCTCACTTTATACAAACACAAATGTATAAATTACATTTGTGTTTGTATAAAGCGAGAGAAAATTGTATATACAAATACAAATACATATATTTTCATCATATACACTTATAATTATACAAAGCTGCCAACGATTTATACAAACGAGAGGCTGTCAACGATTTATACAAATGAGAGGTTGCCAGCGATTTATACAAATGAGAGGCTGCCAACGATTTATACAAATGACAGGCTGCCAACGATTTATACAAATCTGATGCTCCATAGCAAACATAAAGTTTACTATGGAGCGCAATTATACAAATTATAACTATAGCATACAAATATAATTTTTATGTTTGCTAAACCTAAAATTTTTATCCACCCCAATAATCTATACGAACATCAAGGATGGTCAAAGTGCCACCTTGGTCTCTCTTGATGTGAGATAGTTTAAAAAGTACTAACTAAAGTTTAATTAAATGTAAAGAGATTATGGGTACAATCACAAAACTCAAAACTCGATGAAATGCCACGATTACAGCCGCAAATTTGAAATGCTTCTCGCAATTTATCAAGACTTGTGCTATAATTTGCACCCGATATCACCGAGAGATGTGGTGTAGTGGTTGAAACTGCTCTTCTTTTAATCAGAAGTTTTGAATTCAAGTTTTGTGTATAAAAAAAGTTTTGATAGGGAGTGTTTTTTTTAGAATGAAGCCCTACACAATCTAAATACGAAAAAAAAAGAAAAAAAAAGAAGAAGATAAGCACGCCCAATTGAATATGGATTATTAAGTATAAAATGTATTAAGCATCAAACTGAACAAGGGAACAAGTCGTAGACACCACAAGAATTAACAATCAATCTTGAGAAATCGTACGATCACAATTTAATAAATCTACAAGACCAACATTATGGTAACATGTAAAGGGAAAAAATTGATAACAGGGCAGAAATTTTCACTGATTTACTTTTATTTTTTGGAACAATAATTTAAATCTTACTATTTGAAGTATTCTTCTTTAACTATCAAATGAGCGGTTAACTCGAATCAGATAGGAGGCAAGAATATAATTTTAAAAAAGCTAAGGCCATTCTTTATATTTTTCTAGAGGCAAGAATATAATTTCAAAAAAGCTAATGCCATTCTTTATATTTTTCTTGTAATTTATGGATTTTTTTTTAAAAAAATAATGGTTTATGAATAACAAAATAAAAATCTTATGAGAAATCATTAGATCATAATCTAAAATTTTATAGTTATTGCAAATGTTAGACGACAGTTATTTAATTTGTAAGATTATAAAAATATATGAACAAATATAAGATCCTATGTTTGAAACTTTTTTTTTTTTTTTTGCAATTTCATAAAAAATAACTACCATCACAAAACAAATATGATCTACTTGAAATTTAATAACTAAAATATTTAATTGCTAGACCAAGTAACTACAATCACAAAACAAATATGATCTACTTGAAATTTAATAACTAAAATATTTAATTGCTAGACCAAGTAACTACAATCACAAAACAAATATGATCTACTTGAAATTTAATAACTAAAATATTTAATTGCTAGACCAAGTAACTACAATCACAAAACAAATATGATCTACTTGAAATTTAATAACTAAAATATTTATGGGCATAAAACTTAAATATACAACTTAAAGTCTTTAATTACATCAATATAGCAATACTTTTTTTTTCGATCACGTAGATCCTTAATTTAAATAAAGTCATGACAAATAATTTCAGAAAAAGGATACATATAGGTGATTGTATGTTATATCGTGTATATTCTAATACAACTATTATTTATTACCATCAACAAAATATAATATCATCATGTGTTAGATTATTTATTTATAAATATCAATCAAATAATATCGTATCTTAAATGAGATATTCTCTCAATCCTCAAACCAAATCATTTGTTAGTTGAGCAGAAGTAATTGGGATAATGCGGCTCATGTATTCAATTCTTCTATCTCTATATGACGATCTCCTTATATATATATCTTTCTTCAACAAATGGAATTATTCGAACAAAAAAAGTATTGATACTTAATTATAGCACAATAAATAATGGCTTATTCGAACCAAAATAGCGTCAACAAAAGTAGAAGGCATGCGAATTCCACATCCATATTCAGTCAGGCTCGCCGCAAAATGTCATTCCGGCGGAAGAAGTTATCGGTAGTCCAGCCGGAAGCTGGAGGGAAGAAGAAATTATCGATTTTCCGACGGGATGGATTGAAGGGGAAGAAATTGCAGTACTTAGGTATGAAGAAAATAAAAGAATACTGTTATTGGTTGGCAGTAAATGACATATTGGAACGACACCAAGCAAATGATACATTCGAGCAACGACTTGTAATAGATACCTCTTTTGCTATTCCCATGATGGGCCTTTCCTTCGCTACTTTTCCTAATCAGCGTCGTATCTAAAAGCCAAGCTGGAAATTATTCATTTTATTTTTTATTTAAGCCTACGTACAAATTATCATATTTCATTCACGGATTACATTGTTATTTATTTCTGATTTTTGTTGAAATTAATGAAGATGTTTTTTAATTTATTTATTATAGTGCATGCCACTTGATGAATTACTTGCAATCTTCATGAAGAAAAAAAGGAGAAAAAAGATAAATATAAATGGTTTTTATAGAGAGATATCACATCCCGTTACATCAAACTGCTGAAGGACATAAGTTGTAGATACCACCAAGAATTAACAATCTATCTTAAGAATTAGATAACAATCTGATTAATCCACAAGACCAACATTATGGTACATGTAAAGAGAAAATTAACAAGAGAGCAGAAATGTTCACCAGTTATCCCCTTTTTACAATAATTTAGTAAATGACTTTTTTCTTTCTTTTCTACTAGTACTATATTAGAAAGGTGAGTACATATATGGATTATTACATTGTATCACGTATAATCTATGCAAATATTATTTAATACCATCACAAAATAATTATCTTACTGGTTTCGACTTCTCTCCATTATACTTTCTCTTTATTCCTCATGTACATGTTTAGATAAGTAACACTTATCTAATATAATTTTTAAAGGTTAAAATTAGATTAATTTAACAAGCATCTTAACTATGATTAAATTATTAAAATTGAAAACCACTCTTTAATTCTAGTATGAAATATCAATCTTTCCACATTTTTTGATACTCGTTAATTTCAAATTGTAAATTTTACATTGATAAAACAGAAAATTCAAAATTCGTTGATAAGTTAAATTTTTTTTAAACTAAATTTAATAACATCAAATTAATATTACCACTAGTGTTACACGCAAAAATGGCTTATTCGAATCAAAATAGCATCAACAAAAGTAAAAGCCATGCCAATTCCACATCCATATTCAGTCAAGCCTGCCGTAAAATGTCATTCTGGCGGAAGAAGTTACCGGTAGTCCAAGTTGAAGCCGGAGGAAAGAAGCACTGGTAGAAAGTCTCTCCAGTGAAAATTTTCCGGCGAGACGGATTAAAGGGGAAGAAATTGCAGTGCTTGAGTATGAAGAAAATAAAAGAATGTTATTGGTTGGCGGTAAATGATATATTGGAAGCAAGTGATACATTCGAGCGACGACTTGTAGTAGATACCTCTTTTGCTATTCCAATGATGGGATTTTCCTTCACTACTTTTCCAAATCATCGTGGTATGTGAATGCTAAGCTGAAAATTTTATTTATTTTATTTCTTGTTTAAGACGACCTACATACTACTCACTTTCCCACTCTATTTGTGGTATTACACGGTTGTTTATTTGTTATTTTTGGTTTTCGCTGAAATCAATTGAGATGTTTTACTTTGATTTGCTTTAAAAAATATATAAATTCATTAATATGTATATTGCAGTGCCAGTTGAATTATTTGCAATCTTCATGAGATCATGCATGCACATACGTACTTGAACTATTTTTTCTTTAATATATTGAAATTTTATGGGAAAATTATATAAAATAGCAAACTATTAATTCAAATTAAATGCTATAACCACTGTTTCATTTAATTCTAATCTGTTGCAAACACTTTGCCATCGCTATTCTCCCCAGATTTTCTCGCTCGCCACTCTCCTGGTCTCGCTCGCCAGTCTCTCTCTCGCCTCTCTCACTTTATACAAACACAAATGTATAAATTACATTTGTGTTTGTATAAAGCGAGAGAAAAATGTATATATACATATCTTTTTATTCGCCTCTCTCCCTAGAGAATCTCGCTCGCCACTCTCCCTTGCCTCTCTCACTTTATACAAACACAAATGTATATTGCGTTTGTGTTTGTATAAAGCGAGAGAAAATTGTATATAGAAATACATATATTTTCATCTTATACACTTATAATTATACAAAGCTGCCAACGATTTATACAAA